TGAAGCAAAATGTTTCACAAGTTTCTGAGCAAGCTAAAATATTTCTTGTAAGAATAACATAAATTCATAAATTACGGGAAATTTAATCGGTATTGTTGCTTACTGGTAGTAATATAAAGTTTTTTAAAGTTGGAGCTTTAAGGCATGCTTATAATTTAGGAGAACAAGAACTGTATTTCATATTTTCATTTTGAAACTATAAATGGGTTTTACTCCACCAAAAACGTACGTACATAATTTTTTTAAACTTGAAAACTCTCGTAAATCATTGACAGGTGTGTACCACCGGTTTTAGAAGGAAGCAATTAGGATAATTGCTAAAGACAGCCTCACGAGGATAAACAACGTCATATACACTTTTTATAATAGAAAATCAATATGAAAATTCTTCATAGGACTCTTGCTTGTGCCCAATGTGGCACATTCGTATTTGCTCGATTAATTATGCCTCCACTATCAAGTGACAATCGATTGGTTTTGCACTGGAGAGAGCAATAGAGTAATCTCGAAGGATACGCCTAAATGTGACTAATAATACTGCACTCATAATTTGGTTATAACTTACAGTGTATGTTTAAAAAAGGGGGGTTCATTCACAGTACATCGTTTATTAATGAGGAGAAAAAGTGCAGTAATGAAACGTTCGTATCCCAGCGGTGTTCAAAAACGCCAGATTTTATAGGAAAAGAACAAAGACTTGGGAACCTATCCCAAATTAACCACATTTTTTTTACATCACAAGAGACAAAAAATACCAAAGTGCATTAATTGAGGGCCCGGCATGGGCAGGTGGTTATGGCGCTCGACTCGCAATCTGAGGATCGCGGGTTCGAATCCACGTTCCACCAAACATGCTCGCCATTTCAGTCGTGGGGGCGTTATAATGTGACGGTCCATCCCATTCGATGGTAAAAGAGTTTGCGGTGGGTGGTGATGACTAGCTGCCTTCCCTCTAGTCTTACACTACTAAATTAGGGACGGCTAGCGCAGATAGCCCTCATGTAGCTTTGCGCGAAATTCAAAACAAACAAACAAGCATTAATTGAGACATCAGCTTCGACTTTCGAGGTTCTTAATCTTTGATAAACGCTAGCTGGAACCAGGGAAAATGTACACGCCAAATTAGAGGACGCTAAATTAGAAAGTGGGCTCACAGAGGTAGGCCTAATTGAGGTATGTGATTCGCTGTGGTAAGAAAAACTAAATAATAGGAAAGATGCGAACTTGTCCCAAATAATGGATACTGAGTTTTCACAAAATAATGATGGCAATAAAACTACAGACAGTGTCAACATGGAACTAATTTCAATAGAAAATAAGTACTGGAGATTTGATCCTACGAGACTCGTTTGCATAGTTTATCATTTGGCAGAACATAATCTGATGATCCTAGTACTGGAAGTTTCTTCGATGAAGTTGAACTGCTGGTAAAGTTTGACCTGAGGCGAATCTAGAAAAGAGAAATAAATTATAGACCATTAGTAACGTTACCCGGCGTTGCACGAATTTTCGAAAAGCAACAAACCCCTACTCTCTCTGTTTACCTGTTCCACATTTATATAGGTAAAAAAATATTTTGTGAATTTATGAAAAAAAAAACAACAACCTTAGGTTTGATTTTTGAAAATAAACTACGAACCTGATTTAATACTTGTAGTATGTTACGATGTTTTGTTTGAAGTTAATCATGTAAGCAAACTGTTGCATTAAATTAATGTAGCAGTGGACACACTTAAAAACGAAATTCACAACTGCATGAATTTGTGCAAGATTTTAGAGAGAACTAGTTTACATCAATTCACTCTTCTGCACGGGAAATTGCAGACCAAATGTATGTCGAGATAACGTTTTCAGAATAGAGAAGTTGAAGGAAGGAAGTGATGTTTAACTACGAATTCACAGATGATGTCGGCAGAGGAAAGGTTTCAAACACGACGTCTTTCTTCTGACAGTTGATTGACTTTAAAAATGGGTGACATTAGTTGTGATGACTTGAATTTTAAAACTGGTTCTGTTGTAAATGCTTTACCAGCTGCTATGCCCAGTTCTCCTCTGGAGATACTAAGCTGTATCTACACTGAAAAGTTCTTGGACCTTTACCCAAACCTTAGCCTTGCATTACTCATATTTTTTTGACTGTACCTGTAACTGTGGCATTAGGAGGGGGGGAGGTGTGGGGGGTAAAGATTTTCACGTTTGAAACTATTGAAGGACTACTTGCGTTCAATCATTTGCAAGTTGGACTTCTTTAACTTAATTGAGGATTTCGTCTGTGCAAAAGCACAGAAGGTCCACTTCTAAATCACTACATTCTTACTTTTACTTAGCTGAATTAGTATCTATTACTTGGGGAATATTAGTATCATTTAGCATTTTGTTGTGACATTTTAACTTGCTCAGTAATATGCTACAGACATCAGCGCATGTTGAAAAGTTCTAAAATTGTATACTCAATTATATATTATATTTTATTTATAAAAGAAAAAAAAACTGTGATAGTTTTGATTTACTTAATTAACATTTTAATGTTTCTTTGTTTGAAGTTCTGATCATAGTTCCAATTAAAGTAATTTAACTTTCATTGTAGTTGTAACTTGGCTACTGATTTTTGTATGTTATTACCATGTGTACAGATCTTATATGAATGAACATCATAATTATGTTTTAATAACAACGACAATTTTACTTTAAGTGTTCTATTTTTGTATGATGCAAACTATCCAGCAGTAAAAGTACTCGAATGGGGTGAAGTAGGCCCGAAAATATAACTCTTCAGTTAATCATAAAAAATCTGGCAGTAGAAGTAGGATTTCAGTTTTAAAACTCCTTGGCGTTACAGATATAGTACTACGTGTTTTCCATTCTATAACCGTTTAAAAATCATTAGTTTGATACGTCTTTTTGTAAGTTAGCTTTTTTCCTGTTGAGTTAATCCCAATGAGTGTAGATGTGATAATTTAAAGCCTCTGAGCATTTTGTATTATAAAATATATCGGATAACCCGAAGACTTTTAAAAGGTTTTATATTGTGCATTCGGTTAACATGAAACGAATACCTGAAAGACGTCTAAGTATGTATGTATGTATGTATGTGCTGACATATAGATGGGTATATTGCATCCTTTCATCTAGCAGACTTGAATTATAAAATGTACTTTCCATAAAAAGGTCAAACAAATGTATTAAGATATCAAGTTATTAATCCGATTAAATTGCTAAAATATTGGGGAAATAATTTTGAAAAAAATGCTGATTTTTGTTTATTTTTTAGTAATCAGTTGTTCGTATTCTATGGCTTTCTTTCGTTATATACAGTATGATAAATAATTATGGAAGCATACAGGTAATACAAATATATACAATGAGCAATTGAAAACAAATGGTTTATTTATAGTTAATACAATATATTATTACAGAAAATACAAAGAGTAATACCCCTTGTTTTTTAGCTACCACAACTTTAATAACAGTAATACACTTTATTTCTGACTATTGAGGCCGCTGGCCCATTACATCAGAATAGTTGAATTCGTGATACTATTTTACATTTTTGCTTCATTCTCAATATTTTAGTAGTAAATATACTTAAGTTATTCAATATTTTTTACGTTTTGAGTTTCTGATAAGGAGTTATATTTATAATGACTAGGTTTAATGTTAAAAAAATATTTTTAAATTAATTAGGTAAAAAATTTGGATAAACTAGGATAACATGATACTAATCTCCAATAATTTTGATTTTTCAAGCAACAATTACACTATTTTTTTTCTGATGCTTCTATGTTTTCATATCGGCCTATTTCTGTTTAAAAATTATTATTTGAGATACGTAATTTTGCCAAAGCTGTTCTTTTAAAATTTCTAAATTGTTTGAACAAATATAATATTTTGGTTCTACAACTGATTTTTAGAGTAACATATTTATTCAAATTATTACAAACACATAAGTCTGAATACCAGTTTCGGCATTGTTCCTACTTTACATTTAAAAAAATTAATCCTTCATGGATTGTTACTCATTATTTCATTCTTTTATACATACTCACTTGAAAAATCTTTCCTTTTATGCCATTTGCGATAACTTTACTAAAATCTATAAAAACACAGTAAAATCTGCCCAACATAGTATAAGTATGATCAGTTGCTGAATGCTTCTTTCTGTATTCTGGCTGTTCTTTCTATAATTTTTTAAATATTTTCCCCATCACATTTAGAAGTGATATTTCTTTATAATTCTTTTGATCATTTACGTAACCTTTTTAAATAATGGACAGATAGATCATTGCTTTACTCCATTTCTCAGGAAACTCCACTATTCAGAATGAGATCTTTTTTTAACACAACGTTCTCAATATTTAATTTAAACATTTTATTAGTTGTACCGTTAATACGAGGCTCTTTTCTCTTCAGTAAACTTTCAATTACTTTTTGGTCTTCTGCTATCGTTACAGGACTGTTTCAGATCTCGCTCATATCAAAAGAAGTTTCTATACCCTGTATTCTAATTACCTCACTGTTTTCTTTAATACAAGACATTAATGTTTTTTTTTTGTAATCATTAAATCCTAATAAATTCTGAAAATATTTTAATAAATTAGCTGACCTAATATTATGCCTTCTTATCAATAATATATTTCCAAAATTCTTTATTGCATACTAAAACAGGTTAGGATTATCTAAATTATTGTAAAGTTTTCTTTCATTCTGATGTAATTTTTTCATTTCTACAAATATTTTTAAAATCTCTTTTCCTTATAAACTAAAAATTCAACTTGTTTGTCTGGTGTTCTAAACTGTTTTAAT